GTTAACATAACTAGAAAAATGTAAATTTAGCTCTTTAAAATAGAAGAATTTAAATATTAAATTTCAATGAAATCGGTCGATTATTTCTTTTTATATACGCAAAAATGTATATTTGGCCCGCTGTAAACGCCCAGATGCTGATGCCTGATTTCTTCCAAAAGTTAGGAATTTTTGCGGACGGTCGAACAAAGCTTATATATGAAATTTCAAGTAAATCGGTTGAATATTTTCTTCAAAACATTCAAAAATGTAAAACAGGCCCACTAAAAAGTGCAGTTCCCGAGGCCTGATATATCCCAAAAGGTGATCAATCCATGCCATGGTGGAAATAAACTTACATATAAAATTTAATCAAAATCGGTTCAGCAGAACTTGAGATACACGCGTGCACACACATACCGACAGACCAACAGGTTGCTAAAAATAGTTTATTTACACTTCCCTACTATGGAGAAGTGCATTCCCACCGAAAACTCGATATGCAAAATTTGTTGCCGTCACATAACCTACCTATTGTATACACAATACGGTCGCTAAAAATAATCCAATTTCTTTTTTTTTTTGAAGTATTTAGTTGATTTTAGTGTATTTTTTTCAAATTTGAGAAAATTTACATTTAATATTAACGAATTTGCTAACTTTGTATAAAATGTCTCCAAAAATGCATACTTCTGATATAATCACTTATATATATTTCTCATGGGTATATTAGGCCTTTTCATAAACACAGTATATCGCAATATATAGCGAGAACTACGCTATATTTGTGTTCATAAACGAATGTTGTTAATCAATTTTGTTCATAAACATTGCTACCTATAATCTATCACAAAAATATCCAAATTATCATGGCTAGCGCAGCTAAATCACGTGTACTTTTTTTTTACTAGTTTTTGTAGTTTGGTCTTACATTTTTAATTGTTAATTATTATACTTGAAAATAACAAAATCTCTTTTTGTTTCAGTTTTAACTTAATGGAAATTTCTTCATGCAACTGCAGAACAGATGGATGACGTAATCAAAGGAACGAGTTTAAGGCAGAAAAATTCATTAAAAAATTTTTCTCCTCGAACTGGACTCGAACCAGTGATCTACCGCTTTCTAGGCGGACGCTCTACCAACTGAGCTACAGAGGCACGAAGAAATTGCCGACGAAATGTTCTCTACATTGCTTCTACTGTAATTCACATGATTACTAAGTATTTGTTTTTGTTTACATTGATTGCTACATACAATCTACTATTGAAACACACAATAACAAGAACATATATATTTATAGGATTGTGCCTATTGCACTAATTAAATTATGAATTTTACTAATACAACATCATAGTTGCGGAATTAATAAGAATGTGCTTATTACACTAATAATTTAACTTAATGGAAATTTCTTCATGCAACTGCAGAACAGATGGATGACGTAATCAAAGGAATGAGTTAAAGGCAGAAAAATTTATTAAAAAATTTTTCTCCTCGAACTGGACTCGAACCAGTGACCTACCGCTTTCTAGGCGGACGCTCTACCAACTGAGCTACAGAGGCATGAAGAAATTGCCGACGAAATGTTCTCTACATTGCTTATACTGTAATTCACATGATTACTAAGTATTTGTTTTTGTTTACATTGATTGCTACATACAATCTACTATTGAAACACACAATAACAAGAACATATATATTTATAGGATTGTGCCTATTGTACTAATTAAATTATGAATTTTACTAATACAACATCATAGTTGCGGAATTAATAAGAATGTGCTTATTACACTAATAATTTAACTTAATGGAAATTTCTTCATGCAACTGCAGAAGTTGAAAAACTGCAAAACAAAAATCTCTTTTTGTTTCAGTTTTCTTTTTTTATTTTGCTTAATTTTTATTTTTCCTAAAATAGAATTTTCCATATTTGGCCCAAAATAAATAATTTTTTTTTTTGTTATTGACATTTTTTATTCATGATCGCAATACTGCAAATTCAAAATAGCAAAAGTTTTTGTACAACTGTCAAAAACATGTTGCGTATGTATCACCTTATTGTTTTGCAGTATTGTGTTTATGAAAATCTCTATTATATCAGTATTATTAGAGAAAATCTCTAGTATATCAGTATAAATCTCTATTATATCTATAGCTACCGCATCAGTAATTTTAAAACTTATACAAGCTTCTTTATAATATTTTAATAGACTTACGCATTGTGCCATGCGAATTGCCTGAAAAGTTCATTAGTAAGTTTCTGTAACAATCAGAGCTCAAATATCTAATTTCAAGAAATTCCACCAATCCATTCTGTAGATATGGTAAAAAATGTTAATTCGGCCCTAACTTTAGTTTCCGAGCCCTGATCGTCCCAAAAAATTTATATGTTCATTGTTTTAACACTCCATATTTAAATATTAAATTTCAAGGAAATTGGTTCATTATTGCTTTTTATATGGGTAAAAATTTAAAATTGTTCCGCAAAAAAGCCCAGTCCCCAAGGTCTATATATCCCAAAAGTTGATCAATCCGTGAAATAGCCAAAACAAACTCACATGTAAAATTCCATAAAAATCGGTTCAGCCGGACTTGAAATACACGCGTGCACACACAGACAGACGACAGGCAGACCGAAACATTTCTAAAAATAGTTTGTTTACGCTTTCCTACCAAAACTCGATATATAAAATTTGTTGCCTAAAAGAATTTAAAAGCACTATCATAATTATAAAACTTAGAATCAAATAATTGCAAACTTAAATTCTAAATTAAAATCCAATAAAATTTTCATTAAGTTTATTTTAAGCCGTGCATTACAGGCTAAACAATATAACACCAAATTCTTTTTTATTTAGTGTATTATCATTTTTACTAACCACATTGTGTATACAATGAGGTAGGTTATGTTATGGCAACAAATTTTGCATATCGAGTTTTCGGTGGAAAGCATATCGAGTTTTTTTGTTCCACATAAGCGTATAGTTTGTAATTGTATTATTTTGATTTTCTTTAAGTATATCATTTTTCAATTTTAGTTTATATTGCATACCGTTTGAACTTCTCTTTTTTTTTTTTACTAAAAAATTTTAATCCAAGGGTATTCTGTAATTTTATGCTTGCTGAGTAGTCTATGGTCGATATATTATTATGAAATGTATTTAGGGAAGAAATCATATTATCTTCCATACATTCTACAAAAAGCTTTTCCATAAAAATAAGTTCGAACGACAAAACTGAGAAAACTAAATGATAGACATTCATTTCGAAATACATAAATGATTGTTATCATATACATTCTTGTGATTAAAATTTGAAACAAGTCCCCAAGGTCTATATATCCCAAAAGTTGATCAATCCGTGAAATAGCCAAAACAAACTCACATGTAAAATTCCATGAAAATCAGTTCAGCCGGACTTGAAATGCACGCGTGCACACACAGACAGACGACAGGCAGACCGAAGCATTTCTAAAAATAGTTTGTTTACGCTTTCCTACCAAAACTCGATATATAAAATTTGTTGCCTTCACATAACCTCCCTTATTGTATGCAATGCGGTCAGTAAGAATTTAAAAGCACTATCATAATTATAAAACTTAGAATCAAATAATTGCAAACTTAAATTCTAAATTAAAATCCAATAAAATTTTCCTTAACTTTATTTTAAGCCGTGTATTACAAACTAAACAATATAACACCAAATTCTTTTTTATTTAGTGTATTATCATTTTTACCAACCACATTGTGTATACAATGAGGTAGGTTATGTGATGGCAACAAATTTTGCATATCGAGTTTTCGGTGGAAACACACTTCTCCATAATAAGGAAGCGTAAATAAATTATTTTTAGAGAGGTGTCGGTCTGTCCGATTTGAACCGGATAACTGAACCGATTTTGATGAAATTTTATTTTAAAGATTCTAGTTTATTTCGACTGTGGCACTGATTGATAATTTTTTTGGAAATATCAGGCTAAGGGAACTGTACCTTTAAACGGGCCTGTTTTACAGTTTCGATCATTTTGAAGAAAATACTCAACAGATTTACTTGAAATTTTATACATAAGCTTCTTTTGACAGTACGCGAAATTACCTAGCTTTTGGAAGAAATCAGGCATTAGCAACTGAATGTTAACTACGGGCCAAATATAAATTTTCACTAGAGAAACAAAGAGAAATAATCAAATGATTTTTTATAATCAACAAAATTTCCACAGAGTGAAATAATCAACCGATTTTTTGGAATTTCATATTTAAATTCGAGATGCGAAAACAATCAAATTACAATTTTTTTGGAAAGATCGGGGCTGGGAAACCAAACTGGGGGGCAGATTTTACATTTTTTACCATATCTACGGAACGGATTTATTGGATTTCTTAAAATTCAATATTTGAGTTCTGGTTGATACCCGAAGTTACTGACGAACTTTTCGTATAATTCGGACGGCACGAAATGAAACTCTATTAAGAGCCAAATTCACATTTTTCCACGTATGCTAACTAAAAGCTTATTGGTGTCCTTAAAATTGTAAAGAAATGTTTAAAACGCATTTTCATAATCTTTTAGAGTACAAACGCATTTTCATAATTTTTAAGTTTCTTTGAATGGAGAGCTGCAGATATACTGGATGTTTTCTTCGTGTCGCATGGTTCCGTAGATATAAATATTCATTTATATGAAGGAAAAAGCACGTACTTTTCTATGTAAAATCTCTGGAGGAGGGGAGTGGACAAGTACTTGTCTCTTGAAAACAAGTATCACATGAATCTGCTGTTACTGAAAATTATAGATAAGATAATAGGCTAACTACGTAGCAAGCTTACTAAACTTGTATTAATTATAGTATTTATAAATCACAATCTGTATGAGTAATACCGCACCTTTAAGGTAACATGCATAAGTGAGAAAAAATAAGATTTTCAAAAGAATTTAATATTTTATATCATTATAATTTAAGGCTTAGTACTATTTTGTTATAAATAGAAGTACATACATACATACGTATTTTAAATTTTACCTAAAATATTGTGGACTTGAAGTTGTAGTTAGATTCTTTAAATGATGCGAATTTCCAATAAAGTTTTCCAAGCTAATTGGTCCAGCTTCTGAGTCTACAATAATCGAAACATTTGCTTCTTCGTAATTTTTGTTCCACATAAACGTATAGTTTGTAATTGTATTATTTTGATTTTCTTTAAGTATATCATTTTTCAATTTTAGTTTATATTGCATATCGTTTGAACTTCTCTTTTTTTTTTTTTTACTAAAAAATTTTAATCCAAGGGTATTCTGTAATTTTATGCTTGCTGAGCAGTCTATGGTCGATATATTATTATGAAATGTATTAAGGGAAGAAATCATATTATCTTCCATACATTCTACCTTTTCCATAAAAATAAGTTCGAACGACAAAACTGAGAAAACTAAATGATAGACATTCATTTCGAAATACATGAATGATTGTTATCATATAAATTCTTGTGATTAAAATTTGGAACAAATACAGAGCTTCTAAGTTTTAAACACACACTTTAGTTTAAATTGAAATGTACCGCACTGTTATAATTTTTTGTTTGAAATAATTATAAAAAGTTAAAATACAAAAGTACACATAATTTTTTAAGAAATGAACCGTAATCTACTTTTTCAAAAAATAGAAAAACCTTTTTTTATAAAAATTATTTTAATTTAAAAAACCCTTTAATTTTTCTTTACTTAAATCTAACTTTTCTTTACTTTTCCCACTATTTTTAACACATTGATCTAGTTTTTAGATGACTGAGTTGTACATAAGAAATTTACAACACTTCACAACAATCACTAGTGGAAAATAATATCTAAAACTGATATTATTTTAACTATATGAGTATACAGAAACCAAGTTTTGGTAAAGCACGTATATACGTTCTTTGTTTTAAATAACATTTATGTAATAATCTTACCAAACATTTTGAAATGAAGTCGAACTCACTTCAAATCATGAATAAAATACGTTCCGCCCTTAATTAAATCTGAACTTTAGAGTCATCAGTGAGGTGTTAATTAGCTAAAAATTGTATTGTTCAGTTATTTTGAATAGGTCAAATGCAAGTTAAATTAAAATCGTTTAAAGCATGATTTTCTTATTAGTATATAGATGAAAATAAACATGGAATATGTATGCAAAGTACGTATGTGTGCATGTGCCAATACTTTATTCTTTAGATGAAAATATTTTTAAATCTTAATAATACAGTATTAAGCATCAATTTGGTAACAAAATTTTAAACAAAATTACAAACACTATAAAATTTCATGTTAATAATATTGTAGCTTGTAGTAATACGTGTATATGCATAACTGCTCAATTATCAATGATTCTCATACTATTATGAATTTCTGTTTGTAATTATTCTGAATTTATCTGAATAGCAATATTGTAAATCTAATTTCAATCGTGCACTAGCACAAGAAACAAATTTATTTTATTGATGTATGTTTTTAGGATAAAATAGAAAATCTAATTAATATAAAATTTTATCTAAATTTAAAACTGAAATAATACATTCCAATTTCGTAAAAATAAAAATTCATAACTACCTCTAAGGTTTGTATATTATGTACCTAGATAAATAATGTATCTATTGCGCCGTGTAGTTTGAAACGTAGTTAATTGAAGGAATTAGCGTTACCAGACTATATTGAATAAATTTTTTGTACAAATTGCAAAAATAGCTTGAAAATCAACTTGAAAATTATATATAATAGTACATAGTTCTTTTAAGAAATGTAAATTTATTTACTTAAATATAAAGAAACTCTACTCCCTAAATATAAAGAAACTCTACAAACCTTGTTTAATTATAAATAATCTCTGAGAATAGCCAGAGACGTATATATATACATAGATAACAACAGCGAGAAATAGGAAAATCATTTTTGTTATTATCAGTAGTGAAATAACTTATTCATTACGCATTACTATGCGTTGTTTAAGTTAATTGGGGATGCGCACAATGGTTAAAACAAAACTTTTAAAAATAAAAATTTCAGGTAACTGTTTGGTACATGTATAAGCGACCTACCAGAACATTAAGTTGAACAATAATACATAAAGCTCATAATCTCCTTACCACAAATCGAGCACACTAGGCTTTTAAAGCTTATATCATCATTCATAAAACGGGATTTTCAATTTTTACCGACCGCATTGTGTAAACAATAGGTAGGTTATGTGATGGCAACAAATTTTGCATATCGAGTTTTCGGTGGGAACGTACTTCTCCACAGTAGGGAAGTGTAAATAAACTATTTTTAGCAACCTGTCGGTCTGTCGGTCTGTCGGTCTGTCGGTCTGTGTGTGCACGCGTGTATCTCAAGTTCGGCTGAACCGATTTTGATAAAATTTTATATGTAAGTTTATTTCCGCCATGGCACGGATCGATCAACTTTTGGTATATATCAGGCCTCGGGAACTGCACTTTTTAGCGGGCCTGTTTTACATTTTTGAGCATATTGAAGAACATATTCAACCGATTTACTTGAAATTTCATATATAAGTTTTGCTCTACCGGCGATGAAACCTCCTAACTTTTGGAAGAAATCAGGCGTCAGCAACTGGACGTTTACTACGGGCCAAATATACATTTTTGTGTATATAAAGAGAAATAATCAACCGATTTCATTGAAATTTAATATTTGAATTCCTTGTATTAAAACAATGAACATGTAAATTTTTTGGAAAGATCAGGGCTCGAAAACTGATCTGCGGGCCGATTTTACATTTTTCACCATATCTACGGAACGAATTGATGGAGTTTCTTGAAATTTGATATTTGAGTTCTGATTGTTACCGAAACTAAATGGCGAGCATTTCAGGGAATTCGGGTAGCACAAAGCGAAACTCTACTAAGAGCCAAATTTACATTTTTCTATGTATGCTAACTATAAGCTTACTAATGTCCTAAAAATTGGAAAGAAGTATTTAACAGACATTTTTATAATATTCTGTAACACTTTCACTTAACTAGACAATACACATTGCGGTCGGTTATGTGCTGACCACATCAGATTTTTTTTTCTTATTTTTACTCGGAAAAACATACTAGATTATATATTTGACACATAGCTAAATTTTCAGAAAGCAATATAAGGACTTTGATGTTCAAAATAATCTGAAAATTTTTTTTTTTATAATAAAATATCAATACAAAAATTCACTCTTGTGACTATATAAACATCATCTATAGATATCTCAGTAGGCACCAAATATTTTTTATAATACACAGGTTTTCATTGCGTGCTTAATATTAATGAAGAAAACAATGAAGTGAAATAGTGAGAAGTTTTTTTGAAATCTATGGTTCATACAAAGTATAAAAATCAAGATTACAAAAATAATTTTGAAAAATATGTACATAAAATTTTTCTTTGTTATTTAATTAAAATATTAAAAAAAAAGAGAAAAAGAAAATTGGTCTATGACATACAATGAAATTTTCTAATGAGTGCTATAACAGTTGATATAACTGCTCACTGACATATGTAACTGTTAACATTTTGATAGATTGGCAGCAATTATACTAAACTTTGGCTATGCACTTTAAAATTCTATGCATGCTAGCTATTCCATCGCAATAGCAGTAAATGTGAGTACTATTGCAAATAATTTGAAACTTTATGACAGCTATTTTATCCAACATATGTTATCCTTAATATATCAAATCGAGAAATTTATTAAAATTTGAACTCAAAATTTAAATTTTAACAATTCAGAGATAAGATACTGAGCAAGAATTCAATTTAGTTTATATCTTAGAGTCCCATTTTTTTGTGTTACAAACGAAGTGGTGAATTTTATAACTTCCTTCGAACGTACGGATATAAAATTTACGATGTGTTAATTGTTCCCTAGTTGTGATACGCATTTTTATAAAATTTGTTATAAATTCAAAATTGTCAAACACTATAAAATGTTTATTCATTTAGTGAACATAAAATATATTCGATATGATTCTTAAGAGGAAATTTTTGGAGTTTCTAGCGATAACATCATTAGTTACGCAAATATTTCAAACCAGTAAATATTCAAACTTTATTTATAATATTAAATTACAATATGAAATGACTAACATTTTAGAAAATAGAAAATAAATAATAAAGTTAATTTAGTTTTTGGTATAAAAGTGGTAAATTTCTTGCTTTTAAAATTGATTATTCATACATACAACTATTTGAAAATTAATTTTAAATAAAAATTAGTTTTTTATAATATATTGAAAAATAAAATTGGTTGAGTTATTTTTTTTAAATAAATATGTATGTTTACAGTTTTTTTATAAAAATGGTAGTGTATGAAAAACAAAATATGTTGAAGTTTTTATTTAGGAAAATTTGTTTAGAAAAGTAGTGAAAAATTTTTTGAATTATGTAACGTACGTATGCATGCTATTAATTACTTGAGACATGCTTTCGCAAAAACCTCATTTGATAGTTCGCAAACAAAATTAATTACTTGCGATTCCTAGTCATTTTAAGTTTTAGCAATTAATATCATGAAATTTTGTATTGAACAGGTTATTAGTTATTATTCCATACATAATTATGTAAATATGTAAAAATACTTTATATTTATTGGTTGCGTTCACGGCTGGCAGAAATACAGGCCTGAATCCTAAGAGAGAGTGACAGTTCACAGCTGACGAATTTACACGTATTCTTATGGGATGTTAACAACATAAATCTCCAACAAGATCAACTTTTTTCAAATTTTTGATTAGAAAAAGTTAAAATTCAATCTTCTTCTACTCTACTTGTGCTTACATTCTTAAAGTTTTGTGTTGTTAATATAATAAAACATTGATTCGAAAAAAACTTTTCAGGTTCTGTTTTTTCTAAGACTTTCAGATTCTTTTTTTTTTTTGAGTATTTAGTTGATTTTGGTGTATTTTTTTTAAATTTGAGAAAATTTACATTTAATATTAACGAATTTGCTAATTTTGTATAATACGTGTCCCAAATGCATACTTCTGTGTATATAAATACATATATTTATGTATATATTAAATTAATTAAATTCAATTTAAATTAATACAATTTACCTAAACTACCGGATCAGTAATTTTAAAACTTATATAAGCTTCTTTTAATATTATGTTTTTTAAAAGGTTATTGAAAAATATAAATGTTAAAAATAATTTAATGTTTTTATATAGAGGACAGTTTGAAACGACGGAATTTTTATAGTAATTATAAAAAAAAAATCTGATGTGGTCAGCACATAACCGACCGCATTGTGTATTGTTTAGTTAAATGAAAGTGTTACAGAATATTATAAAAATGTCTGTTAAATACTTCTTTTCAATTTTTAGGACTTTATTAAGCTTATAGTTAATATACCTAGAAAAATGTAAATTTGGCTCTTAGTAAAATTTCGCTTTGTGCTACCCGAATTCCCTGAAATGCTCGCCAGTAAGGTTCGGTAACAACCAGAACTCAACTATCAAATTTCAAGAAATTCCATCAATTCGTTCCGTAGATATGGTGAAAAATGTAAAATCGGCCCGCACATCAGTTTGCGAGCCCTGATCTTTCCAAAAAAATTTATATGTTCATTGCTTTAGTATGAGGAATTCATATATTAAATTTCAATGAAATCGGTTGATTATTTCTCTTTATATACACAAAAATTTATATTTGGCCCATAGTAAACGTCTAGTTGCCGATGCCTGATTTCTTTCAAAATATAGAAATTTTCGCGGACGGTCGAGCTGAGCTTATATATAAAATTTCAAGTAAATCGTTTGAATATTTTCTTTAAAATGTTGAAAAATGTAAAACAGGCCCGCTAAAAAGTGCAGTTCCCGAGGCCTGATATATACCAAAAGTTGATCGATCCGTGCCATGGTAGAAATAAACTTACATATAAAATTTCATCAAAATCGGTTCAGCTGATGTTGAGATACACGCGTGCACACACAGACCGACAGACCGACTGACCGACAGACGGACAGACCGACAGACCGACAGACCGACAGGTTGCTAAAAATAGTCTACTTACACTTCCCTACTATGGAGAAGTGCATTCCCACCGAAAACTCGGTATGCAAAATTTGTTGCCATCACATAACCTAAACATTGTTTACACAATACGGTCGGTAAATAATGTGATCAGCACACAACCGACCGCAATGTATATTGTCTAGTTAGGTGAAAGTGTTACAGAAATTTAGAAAAGTGGCTTTCAAACACTTTTTTTCCATTCTTTGGGGCATTAAGAAGCTTTTAGTTAACATACCTAGAAATATGTAATTTTGGCTCTTAGTAGAGTTTCGTATTGTGCCATCCGAACTGCCTGAAAAGCTCGTTATTAATTTTCATTAACAATCAGAGCTCAAATATCAAATTGCAAGAAATTTCACTAATCTGTTCTGTAGATATGGTAAAAAATTTAAAATGGGCCCCCGCTTTGGTTTCCCAGCCCTGATCGTTCTAAAAAATTTATTCATTATGATAACACTCCAAATTTATATATTAAATTTGAAGGAAATTGGTTTATTATTGCTCTTTATATGGGCAAAAATTTAAAATTGGTCGCAAAAAAGCCCAATTCCCAAAGTTTGTTATATCCCAAAAGTTAATCAATCCGTGACATAGTCAAAACATATAAAATTTCATAAAAATCATTCATGACAGATAGACCGAAACCTTTCTAAAAATAGTTTGTTTACGCTTTCCTACCGAAAAATCGATATACAAAATTTGTTGCCTTCACATAACCTCATTTATTGTATGCAATGCGATCGATAAGAACTTAAAAGCACTATCATAGTTATAAAACTTAGAATCAAATAATTGCAAACTTAAATTCTAAATTAAAATCCAATAAAATTTTCATTAAGTTTATTTTAAGCCGTGTATTACAGACTAAATAATATAACACCAAACTCTTTTTTTTCAGTATATTATCATTTTTGCCAACCACATTGTGTATACAATGAGGTAAGTTATGGTGGAAACACATTTCTCCATAATATGGAAGCATAAATAAACTATTTTTAGAGAGGTGTCGATCTGTCGGTCTGCCGGTCTGTCCGATTTGAACCGGACAGCTAAACCGATTTTGATGAAACCTTATATGTAAGTTTGTTTCGACTGTGGCAACTTTTTACGGGCCGGTTTCACATCTTTGGACATTTTGAAGAAAATATTCAACAGATTTACTTGAAATTTTATACATAAGCTTCGTTCGACAGTACCCGAAATCACCTAGCTTTTGGATTAAATCAGGCATCTTTTTTTTTCATCAGGCAAATTTTTTTTTCTTCTTCACTTCTACGACGAGCATGATATCATGCCCTACTTTCTATAGTCATAGAGAGTTAGTTAGGTAGATGACTAGCCTATCGTAGTTTCTTAGACTCTAGTATCGAATATTACGAATATTTGAAAATTACTTGTATAATATTTATTAGCATTGCATATTAAGTTGAATATAATTTTTTTTTATAGTGACCTGACCGCGGTTTGAACCCCAGATCCTTCGGTTAAAGGGCCGGTGCCATAACCACTGCGCCAATGGTCAGGTTACATGAAGAGAAATAATCAAAAGATTTCATTGGAATTTAATATTTAAATTCGAGATGTTTAAACAATCAATTTACAAATTTTTTGGAAAGATCGTGACTGGGAAACCAAATTGGGTGGCCGGTTTTACATTCTTTACCGCACCTACGGAACGGATTGATAGAATTTCTTGAAATTTAATATTTAAGTTCTGGTTGTTACCAGAAGTTACTGACGAGCTTTTAGTATAATTCGTACGGCACGAAATGAAACTCTACTAAGAGCCAAATTAACATTTTTCTAAGCTTATTGGTGTCCTTAAAATTGTAAAGAAGTGTTTAAAACGAATTTTCATAATCTTTTAGAATACTTTTACCAATCTAAGCAATATACATTGCGGTCAATTATGTGCTGACCACATCAAATTTTTATAAACGCAAAGGATTAACGGTAAATTTCATGGCATTAAAAAATATAATTATTTTTCTTAACTCATGCAATTAACCCTTAAAGTCGGGCATTATGTTAAAGGGAAAAGTGCTACAATAAAAACCATTGGTTTGACCCAATTTTGACAAATAAAATATTCGAAGAAGTAAGTCTGTTTTGTTTGTATATTTTTCGTTTATGTATTATAAGAGAAATGACCATCTTAAGGCATTTAATTGCACCTTCTTAGGTTCTTTTAAATAAAATCTTAAAAATATTTTTTTTCATACTCATAGATCTTTAATAATTGAAACCTTTACTTTTGCAGATTTAGTGGTTAAATGGAATTAGTTATATGTATATACAAAAATGTAACCAATAATAACAAATTATATTTATGCTATAATTTTTTATATATTTGAAATAATTCTGTAGCATTACAAACCTTCACAACTTCAGAAATATTCATTCGATTTTCGAACGCACTTTTTTTTATCAAACATTCTATTTTTGCAGATTTGTCAGTTTTAACATGTCGAAAATACTTTGTATTAATTCTAAGTTAGTACTCATTTTTTGAAATAGCCAATATTTTCTTCAAAAATCTGTTATAAAGATGTTTTCTGTAAAGTTTTCTAATGAAAGGAAAATATGCTTAAACTTTTTGAATATACTAATGCCATATATATTAATCAAGCCACCAAGCTGAAATTATTTTCCGAAATTTTCAATCAGAAAATAGTTACGAAAACAATTCTTAATGTTTTATGTTTTCAAAGTATGCCGGTTGAAATATTTTTTAATTTTTTTGTGAAATTTTTAAAATTGTTGAATTTGCTTGGCTCTTTCTGGTAACTGCCATACAACTTTAAAAAAGCTTGTCTGCGCTAAAAATTCCAAAATGCATTTTTCCAATACAATTTACTACCGTTTTTTACCGACCGTATTGTGTAAACAATAGGTAGGTTATGTGATGGCAACAAATTTTGCATATCGAGTTTTCGGTGGGGACGTACTTCTCCTTAGTAGGGAAATGTAAATAAACTATTTTTAGCAACCTGTCGGTCTGTCGGTCTGTCGGTCTGT